TGCAGTGATCTCTTTCATGAATTTTATAGTGTTTCTCACCCTCTTTACCAAAGGGCTTTCACTAGAAGCTTTCTTTGGGTCCATGGTGGCTTATTTAGCAGTTACGAGCACTAAAAAGAATGGAATAATACAAAATGTATTGTATGAATGCGTGGGATCGGCCTCACTGTCTGGTAAACAATGGCACACTGGCTGTACATGGAGTTTCGGGGCCGCTCATGCCGCGTGGATGCGTTCCGGACGAATGACTTATTCCGAGTTCAGTGACGTTCACCGAGCCAATATTTTGACGAAAAAACGTTACTTGTTCCGATGACAACTTAATCCGGGGGTCCACTGTATTTAGTTTTGGGTGAGTAGGTGATTTTTAAGAAGAGTCTTGAATTGATGTACAGACAGGGTTCCTTTGGTATTCGCTGCCACGTGGCGGCATGATCCAGCACTGACAGCCAGAGCAGCAGGCGTCAGTTGTCTCAGCGCTTGTAGTGTTCACATGTGCGACTGCTGTTCACTAATGTTTTGTTTTTGCTTTTTATTTTGTGATTTGTGTTTAATTTCACTGCAAACATGTCAAAAAGAGCTGCTGATACCCCAATGGGTAACAGTGAGAAAAAGAAAAGGAAGCATCTGACATTATCAGTAATGCAGAAAGTAGAGTTACTGCAGAAGCTTGATCGTGGTGTGTCAGTACGGCATCTTAATGAAGAATATGGTATTGGAACTACCACTGTTTATGATTTAAAGAAACAGAAAGACAAGTTACTGAAGTATTATAATGACAATGATGACCAAAATCTAATGAAAAATAGGAAAACCCTGCATAGGGCAAAAAACAAGGGTCTTGACTCAATGTTTTCTTCTCTACCATAGGAAAAAACCTAGCGAGCAGAATCCCAAGCTCAAACACCCTACCAAAAGACTACTCACTGGTACCTACCCGAATACACTATTCCTAGCTCAGACCAACCCAACAGAAGTGTTGCTCACCATCAACACACTTAAAAACAGAGCAGGAGATTTAAATAACCTACCACCTTTTATGTACCAAAAAGCTTCTCAAGTACTGTCACCAATTATTGCGACACTCTTTAACAAATCCATTGAATTCTCCACCTGCCCATCCATTCTCAAAATAGCTAGGGTCACCCCAATCCAAAAAGGAGATCAAGCAGACCTGAATAACTATAAGTCAATATCTAACTTATCCCTTCTCTCTGAAATCTTTGAAAAATTAATTCATAGGCAGATCTACTCTTACCTTGTCTCCCACGACATATTCAACCTATGCAAGGCAGGTCCAGTTTTCCCACCAGCTTAAGCCAATGCCTTGACCTAGTGAGGTCAGACACGTCACTTAAGGGAGGAGCACTGCATCCAACCTAGTAGCACAAGCTAGTCACGTCCAACTCACACCCACTCATGTATTTATCCAACCTATTTTTAAAACTACACAATGTCTTAACGTCTATGACGGTACTCGAGAGTTTGTTCCACTCATCCACAACTCTATTACCAAACCAGTGCTTTCCTGTATCCTTCCTGAATCTGAATTTTTCCAATTTAAAGCCATTGCTGTGAGTCCTGTCTATGTTAGATATTTTTAGCAAGCTATTTACATCCCCTTTATTAATTCCTGTTTTCCATTTACACACCTCAATCGTATCCCCCCTAATTCTATGCCTTTCTAGAGAGTGCAGATTCAGGGCCCTCAATCTATCCTCATGGGAAAGATTTCTGATACATGGGATCAACTTTGTCATCCTCCTTTGTACGTTTTCCAGTGCATTTATAACCATTCTGTAATACGGTGACCAAAACTGTGCAGTATAATCTAAATGAGGCCTGACCAAAGCCATATAGAGTTGAAGAACAACCTGAGGACTTCTATTATTTATACTTCTTGTTATGAAGCCAAGGATTCTGTTAGCTTTATTGCGAATACTAATGTACTGTTGTCTTGGTTTTAGATTACTGCTAACTAGAACTCCTAAATCCTTTTTGCACTCTGTAATATTAAGATCTACATTATTTAGTTTATATGTGGCATGGTTATTTTCCTGTCCAACATTTAGAACTTTGCATTTGTCTATATTAAACTGCATCTGCCACTTCTCCAACCACTGCATCAGTCTATTCAAATCATACTGGAGTGCTCTAATGTCCTCATTAGAATGAATTGGATGGCCTATTTTGGTGTCATCAGCAAATTTGCTTATGTCGCTATTTATTCCCTCATCTATGTTGTTTGCGTAGATTGTGAACAACAAGGGGCCCAGCACTGACCCCTGTGGAACACTGCTTGTGACATGCCCCCATTCTGATTTCTCCCCATATACACAATATCATATTTAATACCATGATCTACCTCCTCAAATACCTTAGTGAAGAAAGTTAGTAAATTCGTAAGACAGGAATGCCCCTTTATAAAACCGTCCTGAGATTCATTAATCAATTTATGCCTTTCGAGATGGCTACGAATTGCATTGGCAATTATTAATTCCATAAATTTTCCCACTATGGAGGTAAGACTTATTGGTCTATAGTTCGAAGCTAAGGGCCTGTCACCTGCCTTGTAAATAGGTATTACATTTGCCATTTTCCATTTATCAGGCACTGTGCTAGTTTGTAGTGATATGTTGAAAAGATTAGCCAAAGATTTGCTAAGTTCCTCTTTACATTCCTTTAACACCCTTGCAAACAGTTCATCAAGGCCTGGGGATTTGTTAGGTTATAATTTCTGTATTTGTCTGAGAACCATATCGCTAGCTACCACAATTGTGCATAGTTTATTATTGTCCTGTTCTACATAATCTATTATTTCTGGAATTTCACTAGTATTTTCCTGGGTAAAAACCGAGAGGAAGTAAGTATTGAAAATGTCACACATATCCTTATCACTGTCAGTGATCTGACCTGAGTTACTCTTAAGTGGGCCTATCTTGTCCTTAATCTTACTTCTATATACCTGAAAGAACCCTTAGCCTCATAATCCCTTTTTGCTCTTCTTATTCCCTTTTTTTATTTCTCTCTTTAAGTGAGTATATTGATTTCTTAACTGCCCATCCTATATATGCCTGTCTTTTGACCAATGAGATGTTTTAATCTATTGTTCATCCATTTGGGATCATTTTTATTAGATCTAATTTCCCTACTCGGAACTAATGTACACTGCTCTTGAGAAAAAAGAAGTCTCACTGGGAATCTTCATTGATTTACGTAAAGCTTTTGATGTAATTGATCATGATTTGTTGCACATAAAATTAACACACTATGATATAAGAGGGCACTCCCTCAACTACCTAAAGTCATACCTTAGCAACAGAAGTCAATATGTGTACACAAATGGAGCTAATTCTTCCATACAACCAATTACAGTTGGGGTCCCACAGAGAAGTGTCCTTCAAATCAAATCTAATCAAATCAAATCAGAGTTTATTCTCTATAAGGATTATAATGCAGGGTTTACAGATTTTGGTTGTTGTGTGGTTTACATGTAGTAAAATAATAATTACAGAGGGGGCCACTAGAACACCTAGCATGGCTAGGCATTTTGGGCAAACTTAGATTAATTCTTAACCTTAAATTATAACAAATTGTGGAGTAAGTTGACTAAATACTAAGTGACAAATACTAGTTTGTGAGTTTAGCAATGTGAATGCTTTTGTTTTGGCACAATACATAGTTTCTATATTGGAGTATCACAGGCAAACTTATGACTAGTTTGGAATCACTATTTTAAGATTAGGATACGTATTTCTGTGCTTATAGTCAAATGGGTGAGTGAGTGTAAATGTGCACCACCAGGTGGTTTTTATGTAGTTAGTTGATGGGGTGTATCAGGGAGATAAGATGTTTTCTAATGGTAGTTTTGAAGGTGATAAATGTGTCTGCTGTTCTAGAGTTTTCAGGTAGAGTGTTCCAGATTTTAGGGCCTTTGACATACATTGAGTTTTTGTAAAGGTTTAGTCGGACACGGGGAATGTCGTAGAGATGTTTGTGTCTGGTGTTATGCCTGTGGGTCCTGTCACAACTATCAAGAAAGCATTTTAGGTCAAGGTTAATATTGGAATTTAAGGTCCTGTATATGTAGATTGCACAGTAGTAAGTGTGGATGTTCTGAACAGGGAGTAAGTTTAGATCTATGTAGAGTGGGGGGGGTGTGTTGCCAGGGATGGGAATTAGTGATTATTCTTACTGCAGCTTTTTGTTGAGTTATTATTGGCTTTAGGTGTATTGCTGCAGTTGATCCCCAAGCACAAATAGCATAGGTGAGGTATGGATGAATGAGTGGTATAGTGTGAGAAGGGCATTTTGCGGCACGTAGTATCGTATCTTGGAGAGGATCCCAACTGTTTTGGATACTTTTTTTGATATGTGTTGGATATGGGTCCTGAAATTCAGGTTGTTGTCGAGGTATAGGCCTAGGAATTTGGCCTCATTATGACATTATGACACAGTTCTACATGATGGACAGCGAAAGGGTTAATAGTTTCAAGAAGTAATTATGTTGGTTGCTAGGAAGATGGGGTAGTAGTCAGTTGTATTGATGGTGATTATGCTTGTTTTAAGAAATGCTATTATGGTTGTGCAGATGTAGTCAGATGAGCCTGCAGTTGTCTCATAAATTCTTGTAGGTTTGGTTATTGATGATGCTAAGCAGTTGCACATGTTTAGGAACACAGCCATGTGCAAGTCCTCTAATTGAAAGAGGTTAATGATAAATTCTCCAGCAGTTATTAAGAGGGGTTTATTTATTATACTGTTTATGGTTTGGTCTTTAATATTGTCTCAGAAGTTGTATAACCTGTAGACAGCTCTTGTTGTGACTGGGGTCTTAAATATTTGATTATAAATTGTGCAAATATGTATTTGTAAAATTCTCCTCTTGGTATATATATGTAGTTCATACATTTTGTCTCATTAGCGTAGTAGACTGCAATTCCACCACCCATTTTGGGAAGTGGAATATGGTACGTGTGCTTTGGATGTGAGTCAGAAATGCTTTAGTTTAATATAATGTAGTACAAAATTTCATAATTAATTCCTCTTTCACAGTGGCAGAGTGAAGGGGGTGCTGGGGCGGGCAAGAATGCAGCAGAATGTGGCAGTGAAAGTCAGGCAAGTGCCAGTATAGGCACTGGCCCATCTGTTGCAAGTAGCGTGGTAAGTCGCTTGGCTCAGAGCTTAGTTCGAAAAGTATCTGCACCTCTCTGGGCTGAAGCCAAACGAAGTGCGACTAAACGACTTGTGTTTGGAGAGAGTGCCCCGTATTTTGCACTGGTAGGGGTGACTCTGGTGTCTGGATCACAGCTGGGACTAGTTACTAAGGAAGACGAGTTAGAAAATCTCTGCTGTAATATCAGGGTAAGTATTTATTGATCTTATGATTTTGTATTCTCTTAACAACATAATTATTATTATTTAGGGTTTTCAAAAGATTAATGAGAAGAGTGGTTAGAATTTTTTTTGCCATAAAAATAATCACATTTCAAGAATCTCTGAACAGATTCCTCAAAACAAATTTTAAAAAATGAATACACAGATAACCCGCACATAGGAGAAAGAAACTTATGATGACATTTCGGTCTGATTTGGACCATTAACTGGTCACACACTAACACACGAAGGTGAGGGAGCCAGTATATATACGAGAGGAGGGCAGTGATGGGACAGCGAGGAGGAAGAAGGAAGTGGAGATAGTAGTGGTCTAGGTAATGCTGGTAGTAGTAGGTAGGGGGAGTATAGGAGAGCCCCGCATATACACGACCCTCTTTTCCATGTTCATTGTTTTCGTTAGTTTTCAATTGAACCATTGTTAATTACATTTGGTGCTTTTACCGCTTTTCTGCTTTTCTCGTACAACAGTTGCATAAGGGAAGGGTGACCTGCACCATATTTTAACCATTTCGGTGTTAGTCCCATTGTATCATGGCTCTGAGGCCATTGTTGGTCCTCTGGTGTGATGCCATGAGCTCAGCTCATTCAAATAAGCTGTGAGTGGTAAATTTGTGCTTAGATATGAAAGAATGGATCTGTGATAAGTGTGCAACATATAAAAAAATTCTGCAGCACGCAGTGCATAATGAGAAAAAACTGCAACCGTGTTTTTGGTTTAAAATGGCGACTTTGTGGTGTATTTTCAGTTTCTTGGTCTGATTTGATAGAGTGGAAGATATATTACAGAAATTGAGGTTATTTTGATTGGTTTCATGACTGACAGTAGCTTGAAATTGAGCACAAAGTATGTTCGCCAATATTACAGAGTACACAAATGATGTTGTGTTCAATATGCGTCCAACTGGCCATCTAATATGCATTTAGGAATGCACGGACATTATATAATCATTACAATAATGGAGTAGTCTGCATAACAGTAAATTTCGTAGTTTTGTGTGAATAAAAATTCAAAATGAAAAGCAAACGTAATGTAAGAGGGGCATGGAGACGTGATTAACCCTTTGACTGTTTCAGGCCCCTCTCTGAAACTGTCATTCTATGTCGCTCAATTTTTGAAAAAAAAAAAAAATTATTTTTTCTTATGAAATGATAGAGAATCTTTTCCCGATGGTAATGACACCAAAAGTTCGAAATTTGGTCGAAAACTCGTGGAATTATGCTCCCGCGAAGTTAGCGGTTTCTGCGACATATGTGTATCGGCGATTTCGCCGACTTTGAGCCCTATTTTCAGCCAATTCCATTGTTCCAGTTGACCAAACTCATAGCTATTTCTTTAGAACTCCATTTTATCTATCAGCTGAGTACAAGAAACCTCCCATTTACTAATTTGGACTACCCAATATGGTGGTCAGAAATTGGCAATTTGGCCAATTTCACGCAAACTAAAAAAGATGCCAATTTCAAAATAGGGTCCAGAATAAACAAGATAGACATTCGTGGCACTAAAATAACATATGCTCTGTTCATTAGTCACATCTCTAGGCCCCTCTTATATTATTATTGCTTTCTATTTTGATTTTTTATTCATACAAAAAAATACAAAATTTACTGTTATGCAGACGACTGCATTATTGTAAAAATGGTATAAATAATATCAGTGTACTAGTGAAAGAATATTAGACTCCCCAGTTGACGTGTATTGGACGTGTGGTGTGATTTATTTACTCTTGAACATTGGTAAAAATCGAACATTTCCGCTACTTTGAGCTCAGTTTCAAGGTCGTTTTTATCGTAAAAGTAATGAAAATCATCTCTATTTCTGTAATATGTTTTCCATTTTATCACCTAAGACCATGAAAACGCGAATACAACGATAAATACTATACGAAAATACACCTCAAAGTCGGCGTTTTATTCCAAAAAAACGATCAGAGTTTTTTATTTCTCATTACGCAATGTGTGCTGCAGGATTTTTTTTATGTGGTGCACACTGACCACACAGACCCATTCTCTCACATGTGGGCCTACCAGCTTTCTCCCGCTTGATTTGAAGCCGCTAGAATTATTGAGTATATATACGTCAGAAACATTGGCTCGTAAGACGTATTTATACGTCGAAAACAGTCAAAGGGTTAAGAAACAGAGGAAATGTTTATTTAGTGTGAGTAATGTGTACATTGTTTATTCTCTGCTCTGTTTTCAAATTGGCAATTGTTGAATTTAGTGTGAAATTTACCGAATTACTGATTTCTGATCACTTTATTGGGTAGCTAAAATAGGTAAATGAGCAGTTTCTTTCTCAGTTGATAGAATAGAAGGAATACTAGCGAAATAACTATGAGGTTGGTGAACTGAAACAATGGAATTGGCCAAAAATAAAGCGCAAAGTGGTCGAAGTCACTGATGTGTAAATATCGCTAAGACCATTAGTTTTGTGAGAGCATATTTCCATGAGTTTTCCATCAAATTTTGTACTTTTGGTTTCATTACCTTTGGAAAAAGATTATCATTTCGTAAGATAAAATAATTTTTTTTTTTAAATTCTTCAGCCCTGAGAGCAAGTTTGAGATCAGGGGTCTCGACACTGACAGTGTTAACCCCTTCACTGTCCAGACCCCCAATCTGAAATTTGTTCACAGTGTCCAAAAATTTTTTAATTTTTTCTTATGAAATGATAAGAAAATCTTTTTCTGAAAGTAATAATACAAAAAGTACGAAATTTGATGAAATTACGCTTTTGCCAATTTAGCTGTGCCAATGATATTTACACATTGGCAATTTTGCCCACTTTGAATCCTATTTTAGGCCAATTACATTGTTCCAGTTGACCAGATTCTTAGCTCTTTTGCTAGTATGCATTCCATTTTTGCGATTGAGCACAAGAAACCACCCAATCAAGTATTTCTACTTCCTTGATCCGAAATTGGTAAGTTGTCCAATTTCACACAAATTTCAAATTAACATTTCCTATGTTCATTAGTTACGTTTCTAGGCTTTACACATTAATTTCATTTTGATTTTTTATTCACACAAAAAATAGAAGATTTACTGTTATGCAATATTGTAATACATAATTGAATAAATAATATCAGTGCCTACGTTAAGGCATATTAAACCCCCCAGTTAACTTGTATTGGGTGCGTGATGTGATTTGTTTACTCTTGAACATTGGCAAAAATTGAACATTTCCCCTAATTTGAGTTCATTTGAAAGGTATTTTCAGTCTTAAACCCAGTCAGAAGCATTTTGTTTCTGTAATAAATCTTCCATTCTATGAAATGAGACCAAGACACCCTGAATACAACTATAAAAACCACATGAAAATACACTGCAGTTGCTGTTTTAAACCAAAAACATGGTCGCAGTTTTTTTTCCTCATTCACTGTGTTCTGAATTTTTTTTTTTATACGGTGCACACTTAACACACAGACCTATTCTCTCATATCTAAGCCCAAATTTTTTGCCCACAGCTTACCTGAGTGAGCTGAGATCATGGTGTAGAACAATGGCTTGGACCTTCAAGTGGTCAAGGAGGATCCCTAATCTTAGTTTAACCCTTTGACTGTTTCAGGCCCCTCTCTGAAACTCATTCTATGTCGCCAAATATTCGAAAAAGAAAAAAATTATTTTTTCTTATGAAAATGTTAGGAATATTTTTGTGAGTGTTTTAAGCCGAAAAAAAAATTTTTGCCATCAGTACTTACCGAGATATAGAGCCGCAAAGTTTGCAGAAAGTGACATGCGTACGGCAACAGCGGCGACTGCCGCCCACCCGGTATTTTTTTATTTACTCTAATTCAAAGGTTTCTTGCATTTTTCAATATTTTTCTGTTTCAGGTAACTTATGTGGCCTGTGAGACCAATGTAAGGTGCATTCTTCAAATATACACTCATTGTTTACAACACAATAACAGAACAAACTTTATCACTATTAGTTTGTGTATACACTTTGTTTACACAAACAAACAATACAAAACAATGTTTATTACTATTGTTCCATAATATATGTACATATGTACAGTCACTAAACACGTTCCTAGAACTGCTGCAGCTTGTGGAACTCTTTGAAACATGGGTATATGCAGAGGGGCACTTCACACTCCTCACACATAAAACGAGTGTCTCTGCGTGTTTGTGGGCGTTTTGTGGTATGCATACATACATAAACACCTCTTCTGAGCATTTTTCTTGCAGTAGTAGGAGGCAGTTGTAGGGGGTTAGTGATCACCAGGCCTGAAACGAGATGACGTGTGTGGGCGCTGGTCTATTGCAGAGTTGCTCCTTGGTTTACTTTGCAATTATTTGTCTGATTATGACAGGCAAAATTCACCATATTTTGGTGTTTTGTTGGTCTTCAACTGTATATGTTATAAGCATTTAGCATAGAGATATCAACAAGATGGAAAAAAAGTTTTATATACCACTTATAACTCTTGCGTACACAGTCTGCAAACCCAATCTGCATGTCACATTTGTCCACTAAGCGCATATTGAGGTTGTAGTCCGTGACAGCTGCAGGCTTTAGAATGGGTTCATTGGTCTCTCTGTTGTCCCTGCCACTAGGTACCATTTCGTTTCTGTGAACTGATGTCAACACTGTGACATCACGTTTGTCATGCCACCGAAATGCCATGATGTCATTGGCAGCAAAGGCTTGCACCTCACCTCTGCGAGTGCCAGTGTCGAACCTTGGCATATGTTTACGATTACAACACACTGTGCCACACACGTCTGTCAAGTTCACTCGCAAGAAATCACTGAGTAAGGGGCTTGTGTACCAGTTATCAGTAAATAACATATGCCTCTTACCAAGATATGGTTCCATCATTGTTCGAACCACATCACCAGAGATACCCAATAACTTCATGGTATCTCTCAAAGTATTACTGCCAGTGTACACAATGATATCCAAAACTAGACCACTTCTGCAATCACACAGTACAAATAGCTTTATACCAAAGCGTTTC